AGCGTTTCTGCTACTCCAACGGGCGTGTGTTATCTGAAAAATGAGGGCGGGGCTTTCTCTCCTATTTTACCTCCTGCAAGAGAATCGGTATGGTATGTTAGGAAAAACGACTGACAAAATTCAAATGGCTAAAAATGTTCTCACCCTTACCTTTGTCACCTTCGAGGGTATTTATAAACGCTGGAAGCCAGGTAAATGTCGGGTGATCGTGGTGCCACGTGTTCCACATCACCTTTCCCACTACCCCCATGTTCTAAGTGAGGGGTCTTCAACTTCCCTCCCGGAGGTTGCACCGGTGATAATCGTCATGGAACCTTATCAATTCATCAGAGATTTTTATGGCTAAGTGTCGGGATGGCCGCGTAGTTAACTCTGTGCCGATTGACGATCTCATGTAGAGGTAGAGCGTCCATGGGGGGTCGTCGATCTCGCGTAAAGGTAGAGCGCCCATGGGAGGTCGACGGCCTTGCATTGGCGTGTAGTGGCCTACCTTGCTCATCATCGACAGTGGTTTTCTATGCTAATTTATATCATTAGCCCCTACCCCTTGTCGATGTTTTTGGGCAAGGGACAGCAACTTTTCTTATTCGGGATTTTTCATATACTGCGCTCCTTGCATATAATTAGTTCACGTAAGTGAGTCAAGCAGTATAATTAAAGTTGGGCAGCTATTTCACTATACACCAATGGGCTTAACCTTGGAGGGAATTTTCCCCCTAAAAAAATTGAATCTCTTTGCCTATAAAAGGAGGTGGTCTCCCTTTTGTGAATCATTTTCACTCCTTCCCAACACTTTAGTTTTTCTCTCCTCCAAGGTAACTCTCTTCCTCCTTCCTTTATCCCAATATTTTATTTTGAATTTTTCTCTCCTCCTTTTTTATTTCTCTCTTCTTTTTTTTTTTTTTTTTGCGCTGTGCGGAGTTTTTTTTTTTTTTTTTTTTTTTTTTTGCCATGTACAAGACTATTCTCACTCTCTCTTCCAATGAAAGTAGTGATGGAGGGCGTAGTGGGTCGACCACTCCGTTGTTGGAGGGGTCGATTGACGTCGGTGGAAGTCCAACTGGACCAACCTTATTGATCGTGCATCGACCAGCCCCCCCGGTTGGTCGACGTTCAACCAGCATCGAGGCTAGTTGAGTGTCTGCCAGCCAAAAGGCTAGCCGACCTTCGACCTTCCCTGGGCTGGTTGACCACCCCATCTTTTGGCTAAGCCCGTTAGTGATTCATCCCCTTTGTCCGATGGATCCCCTTGTGACTCTGATAGTCGAACTCCCCTAAGAGACACATTGGCTCTACCAAGTTTCCAAACCAAAAAATTAGAAATTGGGCAAGATCCAACTGGTGAGATTGTCCCTCTTGAGATCCCAAAAGGTTATAGTCTCTACAATTCCTCACTTAAGTTGGAAATATGCCTTGGTAGGTATGATCGGATCGATGATTATGTCTGTAGAGCCCCCAGTCAGAAAGAAAGACTCCCCGGGTCCGACCCTCGCGAAATAGCTATGTACAAGAACATTATGGATGGTGGTTTCCGATTCCATATTCATCCTTTTTTGTGTCGATTTTTAAAGAATTCCACCTCACTCATAGTCAAATAAATCCCAACGCATGGAGAAATACTTCTTATATGTTTGTCTTAGAAGAAGAATTTCACTTTCTATAGACCTCTTTAGGTGTGTCTTCAAGATGCACGAACTAACTTAGTGCAATGCGTTTGTCTTTTTCACCACTAGGGTCCCTTTGCACTTTCCTAAGTTTAGGAATTCAAACAGTGAGTGAAAATCCCGGTTCTTCTTTGCCTAGACTTCAGTAGGTCGGTTCTCTTTTAATACTGATGTGATCTGGAGAAGTTTTATTTTGGTCCAATTTTTTTATTTTTGGTGAGTTAGATATTTTAGGACTCTATTTCTGGTTTTACTAGATTTCTAGGTATTTTAGAATTTTATTGCATTTAAACATTATTATAGGTTGTTAGTTTAAATAGATTTATTTTTCTACATTGTAATAAAAAAAAAGACTTTTGGGATTAAATTGATGGAGATTTTCTCTGGAGGCTTTATGCTTCAAAAATTATCATACTTATCGTGATGATGTCTCGTGGCATTCAACCGTCAAAGTGAGATTCATGGGTTGTGTAATCACGGGGTCAAGGTATTCTTATAATTGCTTTGGTTTCTTGGTTCATTTAATTTTCGGGTCGATCTTTAAATTATTCGGGTTAGATTCATTAAATTATGTATTTAAAAGGTCTACATGTCTTATTCACTGTGTGGGTTGTTTAATCCATCATTTTTTAGTCAAAATCCATAAACCTTATTGTTTGGAACTTTCTAGGATCCGATTTTATTCTTCTGCGAGTCCTGTAGTGTTCGTTGCTACGTGGGTTCGCATCAGGTGGTATCAGAGCTTGTGCTTCAACAAATCAAAGTTACATCCCTTTTGAGTCATTGTTCGTTTGTTTTTCTTCATGTTATTCGTGTTTTTCATTAGTTTTGAGTCTTAGATCTTAAATTTTAGGTATGTGTTTGTGTTTTTCTAATAAAAAAAACTTTTTTTTACTGTTCACGGGTCTATTAAAATTTTTTTTACTGTTCATTCCATATGGTATAAAAAAATTATTTATCCCAAAATTTCCCGACAATTCCTTTGAGTCCAATTCAAATTTGTCTTGAGTCTTCAGGGTCAGAAAATCTCACTTGGTTTGAATTCTGTGAGAATAACTACTGGTTGAGTTTTGATTGTTCTTGAAGCGCTTTGAAGAAAGTTTGAGTGGTAAAAGGCTGACTAGTGAGAACACTAGAAGGAAAAAAGCCAAATTTGTGTGATTTCGAGTGAAATTTGTGAGGCAGAAAATCAATTGAGGGTTAAAAAAAATGTTGAAAAGAATGATGAGGCGGTTTGAGATGATGATTGAGAATATGGAAAATAAGATGGATAGGATTGATTCGAAGTTGGCTAAGTTGCATAGGGATCAATGTGATAAGGTGCAAAATGTTAGGAGACGGAAGTCTAGATTAAAATGTGTGATGCATATGGCTATGGTTGTGGTATTGATGATGTACGAGGATTGAGGAATAAATATGATAGGTTCGAAGGAAGGGATATGAGAGATCGGCGTGAACGGGAATTTAGGGAGATGCCTAGGAAATATTATGGAGATTATACAATCAAGAAGAAAATGTCATTTGCTAAGTGTGAGGATAGTACATCAAGTAAGAGTGTTGGGTTGGATTATAAACAAGAATTCTCCGAGATTCTCGACATTCTTAGGTCTCAAATTAATCATCCGAAGGAACGGAAGGAGCAAAAGAGTAAAAGAGAAATTAGTGGGGTGGTTGATTGTGAGAAAAAAGAAGATGAGCCACAAGAAAGTGAAAGGGGCGAAGTGGTTAAAATAGAAGTGGAGTCACGAGATGAAAATGAAGTAGAGTCCTTGGAGATCGAAAAGGAGTTGGGAGTGAACTTGCATAAAGAGGAGGTTAAAATTGAGGAGGCATTGGCGAACACTAACATTTCCCTCCCTATTTTTGCTAATTCTATTTTGCAGGTTGACGAAGATTCGATTCCAGAAATTAATCCGATTGGAATCCCTTATAATCAGGGCAATAATTACCAAATGGTGGATACAATTCAATAACAACCACATCCTAGTTTGGACATCACTATATTATCGAAGATTGATTTTGTTATCCCTGAGGAGACGAAGGAATTTCAAAAGTAACGAAAGGAATTAATATACAAGGAGTTGAGCTACAAAGTTGATATGTCAAGAAACATGCATCCAGTGGAAGTAATATTGTCACCATCGCCTAGGCCGAGTAAAGCATGGAAAATCAACGGTGATTTATCAACTGAAATCATTCTTGGAGCATCACACAATGACAAAAAGAAACTGTCAAAGCGTATACACTTTGATATGTGTAAGGGTGATTGGGTTTACATTCAAAAGATGAGAGTTCGAGGTCAAAAGAGGTCCAAATTGAATCCGAGAGGTGATGGGTCATTTCATGTGACCAATTATTTTGATAATTTGTGACTGACAAATGAGTTGTAACCAATAAAAATTTTGATTTTGTCATCAATCAATGAATTGTGACCTATGAAATTTTTTATTTGTGATCGACAAATGAGTTATGACCAATAAAAATTTTGATTTTGTAATCGATCAATGAATTGTGACTTATGAAAATTCTGATTTGTGACCGACAAATGAACTGTGAGTAATAAAAATTTTGATTTTGTGACCGATCAATGAATTGTAACCTATGAAATTTTTGATTTGCGACCGACAAATAATTTGTAACCTATAGAATTTTCAATTTGTGATTTAGAAATAATTTGTAACCAATTAATTTGATAAGTTGTGACCAAATTATATAAATTTGTGACCTTAATATGTTTAATTAATAAAATATATTTTTAATCAATTATTTCATAAATAAATTTTAATAATATTTGAATTTTGAAATTGTAAACCTTTTTTCTTAGTTTTGAAATAGGCTATAAATAAACTCTTAGAAATGAATTCTTCCCTTTTTTAAAACAAGTTGTTGAGCCTGATGGTTTGGTCATCAATGAAAAGTACTATGAATATTAAATTGAAGGTTTAACAACATGTGTTTTCTTTTGAGTATAGTTATATGTATCAAAAGTAATTTCGTTAACAAGCACTTTGTCATCTACTCTATTTTTCTATCCAATAAAGTCATTTAAATTTACATTAGAAAAATGTCAGTAACAATAATCGAATTTTAGATGGAACGGTTACCAATGAATAAATTATTTTTATGAAACTTGAGTGATTAAAATGGTACCAGAAAATTAAAATAATAATAAATTTAGTGACGAAAATAGTATTCTGGCTAACTTCAGTGACCTCAATTAATTTTTAACCTTTGATGGATTTTAACATTTGGGCCAGTTTTATTACAGATTATAAAGGCCCATATTATGATTTTGAATTGACTTGGCGTGTATCAATAACTGAAACCCCTACATGAAGGGAAGATATATACAATGCACGGCATTGCTTCTCTGTCCTCTTGCATTTTCTTGAAAAAAAAAAAATACTACTATTTTTTTCTCTGGAAATTTCTATCAAGCAGGTATTTATAATTTCAACTCTATACATTTTTTTTTTCTTGTTTCAATTAAATAGAAATTGTTTGTCTTTATTTTTATTATCTTTGATTGGACCTGAATGCTGATTATGTCTCAAAATTTTAGTGATCTTGATTTTGCATCTAATTTGCCTTAATAATGGAGATTGATATTTGAAATAAATTGCTTTTTAAGGTTCTCGAAATGTGGGGCCATTGTTTTATGTGAAACAATTAGTTAGATTATTCGATTTCTTGATTTCTTGAAATCTAATTAGTATTTCCTTGGGAAATGTTTTCTCTGGTTCTGCGGGTTCTTCGCAAAGCTAACATAATTGAGGATTTTTCATGTTGAAAACTAAATTTAAATAAATATACATCGTATTAGTATTTTAGATAAAGTGGTTCAATATTAGGGAAAACTCATTCATGAAAATTGTGAACATTTTAGTCTTTGATAACGAAATGAATTCGGCTGCATGTGAGGAACTTATTAAAGATAAAATTTACATAAATATACATGTCCTTCTCTGACAGTTTTCGCTTTCAGATGATGTGTTTATACATTTTGATATCATTTATATTGTCGAGTACGTCAAAAGGTATAATAACAGCAAAAAACTGAACTTTACTTCAAATAAAAATGGAACTGATTGCTAAAGTACAATACATTCTATTATTGCGGGGGTAGTATTCATTCTGTCATAAGAATCCTTTAGGACATTTTGGGCAGCCACAAGGTTCAAGTGATTCCTGTGAAAACTAAGAGATTTTTTTATTGTAAATACTTATTGGTTACATTGTCAGTGCATATACCTGAAAATGGGGTTTCCTTCATCTAATTCGAAATTTAAACTTAAAATCCTATTATTCGGCTTGTCTTTTGTAATTCTAATTGAGATGGCAAAAGAAGAACATTGACAACCATCTTGTCTAAAAGTTTTAGTTTCGTAGAAGGGATAAATTAATATATTATGAATTATCTTCAACACGTCGATTTTGTACTCTCATTTGATACCTAATACAGCAAATCTTGGTTCTCGTTTTTCTTGAGTAGGAATTGGAAGAGGGGGTGCATATCAAGTATTGTGATTATGTCTTCTTAAGACCGTTCTATTTATCTTGTGTATCAATATTTTTGTTAGGACTTTATTTTCCAATATTTTGATAATTATTTTGAATTGTCATGATGTTCAATGATATTCATCAATGCTAATTTCAATATTTATCTAAGACGTAGTAGACATGCACAATTCTTATCACTGAGCAATGACGGGACTTGAATTTAGTTCTTTTGTCTACTTTAATACATCAACCTTATCTCCAAAGTTTAAGTTGTTAAAAATGAGATATTGATTATTTAAATAAACTTCAACAACTTATACACTCTCCCAAGAAATTAGTGGTACTTCTGACTTATTTTGTTGGAAAATATCGCGTATATCCTTTTCCATTCATATAATTTTCTATTTTATTTTCTCTTTTACGATAGTTTGAATTTGTTTTTATCTGATAGTTATTGCATCTCATTGTCATTTCCTTTTGTTTCATAAAGATAGTTGAAATGGATTCAATGAGAGGACAAGGAGGTATTCAGATGCTATTGAGTGCAGAGCAGGAGGCTCAACAAATTGTCACTGCTGCTAAAAATCGTACGAGCTCACAAGAATTATATGTTTTTTTGTCGATCAAATCATTTATTTTTCCTTTCGGCATATGCTTAATCATACATTTCCATTTAGCTTTGTCTACCTTTTTGTTAGTTCTCTGAAAACTAGGAATTGTCCCTCTATTTGTTTCCTTATCAGTTTCACATACTGATAGTGGAGTCTTTTCCCTTCAGTGAAAACGACGAGATTGAGGCAAGCTAAGGAAGAAGCTGAGATGGAAGTGGCAAACTACCGTTCCCATTTGGAAGCCGAGTACCAAAAAAGTATTTCTGAGGTGGTTGCAGTAGACTTTGAGCATGTTTATTTAAGCTTAAAAAGAAGTCAAAAAAAGTAACTTATTTTAAAAATAGCTCTCATCTTAATGTTTAGCATTTTTTCAATTTTGAAATCAAAATCTTTATTTTTCAACTTATACCTTATAAGTTAGCTCAGCCAAACATCCTCTCAGCAATGTCATCATCGTTAATTGTTCAATCTTTGCAGTCAAGTGGAAGCTCGGACTCAACAGTGAAAAGGCTAGACAAAGAAACTGAAGAGAAGATTCAAAGCCTGAAGGGAACAGCGTCAAAAGTATCTCCAGAGATTGTCAAAATGCTCATCAAGCATATTACAACTGTGAGAACATGATGCGTGAAGGTTCGAGAATTCATTGCATTTTTGCTAATCTTACTTATAAATATTTATATTTCTAAGAGTTGATTGAACCATAGGCGACGAATATAGCAAAAGTGTTCAAAAGAGCATATTTGGTAAGGTACATTGGACGGTATTTGATAACAGCAAAAAAAAAAAAAAAAAAAGTAAAAGTTTTGTTCATAGTAGCATCTAAATATAATCTTCATCATTGCTTACATGTTTTTGATCCCAGGGTATTCACGAATTACAGAGGTAGAGACATCAGAGCAATAAAAACTTGAGACTAATATGTCAATTAACGACTTTCTTGAAGTTGGAGGATTGCAAGCTGCTGAACAAATCATTTTTTGATTCATCTATAGATTATCGGTTTTTCTTTTCTGTCATTTTCATTTCTGGTACAACAGCAGATCTCCAAGTAATAAATTTAAGCAATGGAATCATATGAGAGCTTTGCTTGTTTATGAATTAGAAGAAGACCATATTTTACTGAATTCGATTATTCAAGTTTCATAAAATGTAAAGAAATACGTTCCTCCCACCAAATATAATACAATTCGATTCTTCATTGTTCCTAGGCTCTCATTCATATTAGAATGTTGTGTGGTAGATGGAGATCTAATTTAGCATCTACACGGAGGTATTCCAAATCAATTATCATGTTAAATAAATAATAATAATAATGGACGCTCGTTGAGTGATTTAACTGAAATAAAAGAAAGATTATGTTGAAACAAAATAAAGCTTCTTTGCAAGTCAAGTGATATAATATTTTTATCTCTTGAGAAAAATGTCAATACTATCTTCTCTTTTTTTATCTGTTCACTTTTTGCTAAACTTTTGATTAAAAAAAAAGAATAATTATTTGAAAACCTTCAACTTGAAGCCATTTTCTGAATAGAATAAAATTGGCATTCCCTCTCTAAACTAGATCTTTTCGAAGAAACATGAAAAATACGAAATTACATTTTCATCGCTCTTTCAAAAAAAATAAGAAATAAAAATAGCAATTTCAATTTCACCAAAAATGGAAGATTTTCTTCAATAAAGTCCATAAGCATGATTTGACAATTCAAATTGTAAGGATATGCCACTTACTACGTCGAAAATTCTCTTCTCAGGTATTGGGATCTCTCTAAAGATGAGGCTCTCCTTCATTGTTGTTGTTCAACACAATTATCAGTAATCACACACTGCCCCTGTCTTATGCATATACATATGTGTACTGTGTGAGAGTGTTTATAAATTTACATGACATTTCATGGCTAATATTTTGGGAAATCTCCGGTCTCCATCTTTAAACATTGGCATATGAGATTTCACCCAATAGAAATTTGTCTTGGTGAAAGAAGGATCTATGAGTGGTGTAGAAATCTCCAAAGGCTGAGTAACAATTCAAACATTTGGGATTGTTAATGCATGGGTTTAATTTCCCAAGTGTTAGAGATTAATTTGTTGCAAAATGAAAGACACAAAAATGTTAAGTAAATTATTGTGGTGATATTTGAAGGTTAATTTCATAGGCCTTGGCTGATGATTGAAATAAGGAATCGGCACACAATTAATAGCTCAACCCAAAAATTAAGTGTGCCATTTGAAGCAACATTCTAAGCATGGGAAAATCTACATTTTCGGTTTCCATTTCAAAAATCAGATGCTAATAATTTTGGATCTTGTTACATGTACATTAAGCTTCACATAATTGGTTACATAATGTCATATGTCATTATATCATTTGCTAGTTTAAAACACTATCAACTTTTTCATCCAATATATTTCCTTAACATTATTTTATATAATTCCTTATGAACAATTTTTATATACAAGTAGCATAATCCAATAATTTTATATCAAAATTCAGGCATATTGAACCCATCTCCATCCCCCACGACACACCACTACCCACCCCCACCAAAAACATTCCGTAACTTCATTCCAAGACGAAAATTGCAAATAGGTAGTGATGAGCTCGGCTCGGCCCTTTAACCCACGAGCTCGGCTCGAGCTCGTGGCGAGCCAAGCTCGTGGCTTGTGAAAGATGAGTTGAGCTCGAGCTTGACTCGTTGCTCTGGGGGAGCTGGTCTCAGCCCATGAGCCCGTAAATTCACGAGCTCACGGGCTGAGCCGAGCCCATGAGCCACTCGCAAGATTGTGATTTTTTTATTTTTTTATTTTTATTTTTTTTGTAAATTTGTACATTTTGGACATTTTTTTAAAAAAAAATTCATATTTTTTAACGAGGCTCATCAAAATAGCTCATGGACCGTGTGCCCACAAGCCACGAGCCGCTCGTGGGCTCGGCTCATGGGATTGAGCCCCTGCTCAGCTCGAGCCGGGTTTTGACAAGCCGACGAGCCGTTCAACCCGTTTGACATCCCTACAAATCAGTAGCTTATTCCGCAAATATCCAGCATGTGAGTTAATTGTTCCAATGATCACTGAATTTAGGTTCATATTTTTGATTGGTCACTGAAGTTTAAAATGTCGAATTTTGGTCACTAAACTAAAGTCCATATCTTCGATTGCTCATCGAAATTTAAAATGTCGAGTTTTGGACACTGAACTTTGGAAAATATTGTACATTACTAATAAGTATATTTTATACACTAACTTCATTCATTAAACTAGAGTTTTTTTTGTTATTTAGGATGAATTGATACTTAACTTCATACATATTTCGTTTGTTAGGTGTAACTTGAGGCAAAACAATGAAATTGGACAAAAGAGCGGGAAATTTGCTAACTTGGGCTTAATCAAAAGTTTGGGGACTAGATCACAAAGTACCAAGAGTTGATTCGGACCTAATGTTGATGATTTAAGAAGAGCTAGAGGCAATTAAATAGTACGAGAGGATGAATGGTCAAGAAAATTTCAATATGAACCAAAAGGAACGAAGAATGAACTATAGGGACCAAAGTGCAACACATGAAAAAATCTCATAGTGACGTGCATGCAAGGGCTTGAATTTCATATGTAGAACGTAGAAGTGATATGCAGCGCGCGTGCAAGGAAGTATACCCAGCGCGCGGGGTCATTTTTCAAAAAAAATCAGGCAGATTCCTTTTTTGACATAAACTTTTATGGAAATAAAATCTATTATACTACTTAACCTAGGGGGACGAACAGAATAGCGTGTTTCTTCTTCTAGAGGGCAAAAAGGGATTTTCTAGGAGAAAATATCAAGAGGCAAAGATCAACAAAAGCAATTGCAAGAAGATTGACGACGATTGAGAGAAGAATTCACGCAACAAAACTAGTTCTCTTATTCTCTACTTCTATTCCATGTTCTTTATTGTTTATTTTATCATGTCAATCATTTCTATTATGAACTAGACTTTAATCCTAGGGATTTAATGAAGCCTACTTAGACATGTTTTAATTCGTATATAATTATTTCAATTAATCTTTACAGTTATTTATTTATGTTGTTCTTGTGTAATGCTTTCAATTAACTGGCCACTAATTGATTGATTTGATGCTTTAAATTTCGATGCTCGAGAGAAGTAAATTTAGGCATGATCTAAGAATAACATAACCTAATTTCATACATTTCGAGAGAAAGTGCAATTCTTTGAGGCTAATTCCACTTAAAGAACTAGGTGCTTTAATAATTTCTATATGTTTAGTTCGGAATAGAGATATAGGAATTAAAATATAGAAATGGATTCTATTTGGTGCTCGAGAGAGGAAAATAGATTCAATTTAGAGTTCTTGACTATAAATTTTGGAAAGATTGATAGAAATAGTTATAACGGTTGTAACATTGTCGATAGTACAGTGAAATCGCTCCCTAGGCATTTATAATTTGATAAGAAACTTTACAAATTGCTCTTTTTTACTTTGCATCGTTCATCCCATTCATTTTAGTTTAACAATAAAATATCGTTTCAAAAATTGATTGTCTAAATAAAGTGAAAATTAAAATAATTATAATACTCGATAGGATTCAAATATTAATCCTTGTGGGTTCAACACTCTTATTCTATTACTATATTACAAAATTTGACACCGTACACTTGTGGTATAAAATCAAGTTGCATAAATCGCATGGCAATTACTCACTATAAATTCGATATTTTTCAAAGTTCAGTAGTTATATTAGTAAGTAACGTACGTCATTTTTCAAAGTTTAGTGACCAAAACTCGATATTTTAAATTTCAGTGATCAATCTAAGACATGGACCTAAGTTCAATGACTAAAACTCGACGTTTTAAACTTTAGTGACCAATAAAAAACATGAGCTTAGTCCAGTGACCCTTGAAACAATTAATTCCCAGCATGTATATATGTTTTTCTTATTCTTTCTTTTCTTCATTACTTTACAAAGGAAAAGGCGCTAGGGAAAAATTAATGAAATGATAAGAGGAAGCTAACGTTGACCATCCGTCGACAAAAAATCAAAACGACGGGCGACGATTAGTTTTTGAAGATTGTTGATCCTGCATTTCATGTTATAATAGGTGATACCAACTAAATTATTCTAGAGTGTGTGATTTGATATTTTCCTGGTGTTCACATCAAACGAATGAATGATTCGTAGGCCTTTGGCAGAATGTTATGTAGAAATAGGATCACTAGAAGATTCATCCATTATATAAAACTCAATATACAGGGTGTAAGCCAATTGACAAGCAATTGGTTCAATTCGATTTGGTTTTACACAAGAAATTAATCCAAGACCTTCTTTTCTAGATTTGGTTTCAATTTTAATTGGGTGAATGATCCATAGTGGATTACTGGGTCCGATCTGGAAGATAATAGTGATTATGACATGATTACAAATACGTATAGGTCATGTGTATACGATTTTGGGTAATGATGGTGGTGGTTTGACTGTGGAGGAGGAAAGGTGATGGTGCTATGGTGGCAACAGCAATTCGGGTCTTCCCGCCTTTTTGACTGTGGAGGTGATGGTGGATTTTTAAGGTTTGTTTGAAGATTATGGTATAGACATTAACAGTGTTTTGACTGTCGTAATGGTGGTTAGGTAACAAGGACGACTTAGGTAAAGCTAGTGGTGCCGATGCCGGTGTTGGTGGTGGGATGGGATGAAGAGTAATTGTGACAAATAAAACAAATAAATTGTTATCAATAAATAATATGTGATCTAAAAATGTTTGATTTGTAAGTAAATTTATAATTGTGACCTAATATTTGTGCCTTCAAAATCGATAAATAAGTTTTGACCCAGTAATTTGACAATTGTGATCGATAAATAGCTTGTAACCAATTAATTTGATAATTTGTGAACCATAAAATTTGTGATTTGTGACTAAGAAATTAGTCGTGACCTATTAATTTGATAAATTGTGATCACATACAATCGGTAACATGTCCTAAATTATTATTCCCAAGTTACATGTCACAAGCCACAAGTCACATATAATGGTCACAAGTGATTTGTCACAGATCACAATTTACATTCTACATCAATGACAAGTC